CATTAAAAGTAAGAAGAATTAACCACTGAAAAACTATCCTGTCGAGATAAGGGAACTAGTAATAGAAAAAAGAAAACTAAGAAAGAAAATTAAAATATATTAAATAGCCCAAAGACTGTAAAGAGAAATCCTAAATCACAAAAAAGAATCCTTTTACAGATACCTAATAAAATGATGATAAAGATGATAAAGAAACTGATTATTTGGTATGAAAGGCAACTAAAAAATAAAAAAACTCATGTAACCACTGTTCTCTAATTAGAATTACAGATAACAAATGGACGAGAGACAATCAACATATATCTTCGCTGAACACATACAAAAAAAGTTCCAATTAGAAAAAAATCATAACACTTCTACGAGACGATCCATTATATGGAACAATTTGAAATTAGGTTAGTTATTATCAATGAAGTTGCGAAAGAAATTCAGACAAACATCGACCCACATAAAGCCCCAGGATATGATCTTATTACTGAAGAAATATTAAAGAAACTGCCAAGGAAGGCTATCGGTAAATTGATATACCTCATAAATGAAGCATTTCGCCTTAAGCATATGCCAGATGCGTGGAAAATAGCTGAAGTTATCCTAATTCCTAAGCCAGGAAAGTCTCCGAATGAAGAGCCATTGTATAGACCTATATTGTTACTATACTGTTACTATATTGCTACTAATAATATCTAGGCTATTTGAAAGCTACTACTAAAACGACTATAACCATAATAAAAAATAAAAATCTGATCCCATCACACCAGTTTAGTTTTAAAAACAAACACTCGACAATAGATCAAGTAGATAGGCTTGAAAAAGCATACGAAAAAAATGTAAATATATTCCTTGACGTAACCCAAGCATTAGATAAAGTTTTGCACGCTGGTCTGATACAGAAACTTGAAAAATGCTCCCTAGACAATATGTATACTTTCGTCAGTTATATCTAATGGGAAGAATGTTTAGAGTGATGCAAGAGCAGGCATACTCCGAAATGAAATAAATAAATGCAAGTGCCCCACAGGGCAGTGTGCTAGGACCGGTTCATTACTTATTATATACCAGTGACATCCCTCAACAACAATTTGTTAGAATAGCAACATTTGCGGGTGACAGTGTAAAACTTATTAGCTACTAGGAAGAAAATCCAAGTTGTCAGTGTACAGCTGTGAGAATGTACCAGCAAGAGTAACATAATATAATACAAGTTTTGTAAAATAAAGTCCTAAGATGCATTATTGGTTCTATCAAAACGATTATCTTCATAGAGCTCTGAAGATGCCAACAGACGAAGAAGAAATAAAAAAAAATTCAGCAGAGAGGCGCTGCAATTACTGGACAACTTTAATGTTAGTGCAAGTGTAAAACAGTGTAATAAACTGTCACGCCAACTTGTGATCCATTCCTATTAAACGATTAAAAATACTCAAAGGAAAAAAAATAAAAAATTATGACCGCGATATTTTACATAATTAATAAACACATTAATAAACAAGATAAATTCTTTTTTTGTAACTATTCTTAAACAATGTCCTATTATCCTAACAGAAATGAAATGTTTTATTTACATTATTTAAATATATTGTTGAAAGAGGAGGCACAAACATTTAAATTTTTTAATTTCTTAATTACCTATAATAAGTAATATTTATTTTATATTAATGACAATAATTGAATCATTGAACCACCACTGGCGTTGATTTGGTTTTGTTGATTTTATAATGATTTACACGTATAAAATAAAGATGAGAAATTCCACGTACCTTAATGGGATCAATATTAATTTGATTCATAAATTATTCTTGTTTAATTTACAATAAATAAATAATGTATTTGTTGTCAAGGGAATGCTATCTTAATTAATAAACAAAATCCAAAGATTAATGCTGATTTTGTTACCATTCCTAACCTAAACAAGGAATCTCCTAATTATAATAAAATGTTCCACTTACACTATTTAGATATATTGCTGAAGAAGAGGTAGGTACAAATATTTGAATTTCTGTTTGCATATAAGTAATATTGCAAAATAATTATTGATTTATAAATTATAGATTTTAATTAAAATTGTTTGTCAACATCTAAGTTTATAAATGTAAAAAACATATATTACAAATATAAAAATTATTTTAGTGCATAAAAATGTTTATTTTCCTATAATGTAGATTTGGAAAATTTATCCACTATGGAAGCTTCATATACATATTCGCTGCTAAGTATAACTTATGGACCTTGATAACAAAGTATTAAGGATATGCCTGGGAGCTTCTAAATCAAGTCCAGCAGAAGTTATTTACTTTGAAGCTTATGAACCACCTCTCTGGCTAAGGCAGCAACAACTTCTGTTAAGTTATGTTGCTAGAGTACCTGTGTAGTGCCTCAGTTGCACTACATACGTTAGAATGTCACACACTTGTCACTTTTTAGCCAATCCTTCAATTCGTTGCAGTCCTAGTATAACAAAGGATAAACTCATATCCTAAGCAACGAATCGATTATTGATCATCATCATGATTTTTTTAAACTTTTATACACGACATGTCATTTGTGCAATTATTTAATATGGTGGGATAAACAAATTTTTAAATCCCACACTGGTGATTCCGACGTGATCGCCCGAAATGGAGAAAAAGAAAATCTGGATGGAACAAAGATTCCGATAGCGTATACAACAGGTCCTGCAATCGGCTGAATCGCCAAGTTTAACAACAGCAGCAGTTGGAGCAAGACAAATTTATTGTACGGGGGTGAGTTTATTCTTTCTAGTGACTGCCACACTCAAAATTAAACTTTAACCACTTTTCTACATACGAGTACTAATAATGTAAAAAAATCAAAATACAAGACTATACAATAACACAACATAATACACAGCACACATGCAATTAGCATTTTTGCAGGTACAAGACTCAGTCCACACATATATGGAGGTTCCAATTGTCGCATGCTAAAGGAGCAACCGCCCACATGCGCCGATACATATATGCTGGTGGACAATTGTCCTTAGTTTTTTATCTACGGTAACGAAACGTCCAGGTAGAAAACACTAGAAGTTACAAAAATCGTATCGCGATAGTTTTCTTTAAGTAGAAAGTACCTATCGGGTACGTAGGCACTTACTAATGCTAAAAAACCATTCTTGTAAACAAAAGATGGAAACGCAGAAACTTACATTTCTGTAAGAAAATCTAACAGAACATATTAACACATACACTTTAAAAAAGGGGGGAAAGTATTGTAGTACCTCAGTTGCACTACGTACGTTAGAATGTCGCACATTTGTCAGTTTTTAGCCAACCCTTCAATTCGTGGCAGTCCTAGTATGACAAAGGATACACTCATCATCTCCTATGCAATGCTAAGAATCGATTATGGATCATTATCATGATTTTTTTTATACACGCCATGTCATTTGTGCTACTAAATATACCTTATACATATCATGGGGTAAATAAATTTAAAGATCCCACAATCTATTCACAAAATCCAGTACATGCGTTAATTAAGCTCACCCGCTCTCTAACTAATCAAAGCACTAAAGTATTAATATCTTAAATGCTTACACTGCTTCTGTCAAATGTAGACCTAGAAACAAATAAATGTGCCTTACATTAATATTTTTCTCAGCCAATACTCTAAACATGTAATAGGTACCTAGCTCACTTCTGCGACAACATTTTTCCGATTTTATTAACCAAACACAATATGGCAAAGTTCTCTACACGGTTGCATCAAAATATTAGATTAGTGTCAGTTGTGCAGTCACTTCAACTAACGAAGAAATTAAAACCTGCATTATTTTACCATTTTCCAGTATTCACGCTGTAGAGTCATGAGGTATCGTTCATGCCGTAAATTCTATTCGCCAGAATATAATCGTCCAGCCATTTGTACTGACTCGCTGGCGTCAGTCAGATCAAAACCATTTACATTCATCACCTCCTAGTTCAGTACCTGCATGACTCTGTGAATAAACTTGCCTCATCTGGAGTATTACAATATTATCGGTGGTGATTCCCGTGGGAGTCCAGCTCTGGAAGAAACTAAAGGCTTTATTTAAAAACAATACTAGGAATATATGACAAAATCACTGTAGTTGAATCTTCTCCAAATTAAAAAAATTCAACCCCCCGTCGGCACAGCTAACATCCTAGTCATGTATAAAAAATAGATCATTAGACGACTACGGATCGGACATTCTCGACTAACGTACGGATCCACATGGATACCCATTCACTAACTCATGAGAATTGCTCCTCCACAACTGCTAGTCTTACCGCTCACATGATGCCCTATAATTTTAGGCGATTGTTTTACAAATTTAGCTGTGTGAAGTTTGCCCCCCAAAACTCGAAAATTTAAGGTTTAGAAGCTTCATGCCTTTAATCACCTAATGACCATATTTGATCACCCACTAACTTTTTTTGACCAACTTTAAAAACCTTAAAATAGATAAATGCCGAGTGTCGGCTGGCCCCCCGAAGCTAATATTTTTTAAAACACCATAAAATTAACCAATGTTTAACCGTGTTTGATCACCTATTAGATTTTTGACACCCCTTAAACCATTTTAAAGGATTAAATTATAGAAAAATAAGAGTTCTGGGACCAATTTTAAATTTAAAAAAATGATCGTCAAAAAGGCACAATAAGATCCAAAAACGTTTAAAACTATATATCGCTGTTTGACTATCCCCTAAAATATTTTAAAAGATCTCAGAGGGGTTAAACATTCGAAGAAAACATTTCCCAATATATTTTCTACTTGAATAAAATGGTTAGTCGACATAATGATACAACAAATATACATATTGGTCGAGAATTATATTTTGGCGTTTGATCATCCCCTAAAATAATGTTGAGGCCAAGTAGTGTGAAAATTCGAAAAACAAAGTTGAAAATGGAATTCAGACTTAGAAAATGGTCAATTGACATGAGTGCCCAATAAAGTTCATAATAATTTAGAATTATGTTTTAACGTTTGACCACACCCTAAAATAATTTTAATGTGTGAAATTTGGAAAATACAATTTGGAAAATACAATTTGGAAAATACAATTTGGAAAATACAATTTGGAAAATACAATTTGGAAAATACAATTTGGAAAATACAATTTGGAAAATACAATTTGGAAAATACAATTTGGAAAATACAATTTGGAAAATACAATTTGGAAAATACAATTTGGAAAATACAATTTGGAAAATACAATTTGGAAAATACAATTTGGAAAATACAATTTGGAAAATACAATTTGGAAAATACAATTTGGAAAATACAATTTGGAAAATACAATTTGGAAAATACAATTTGGAAAATACAATTTGGAAAATACAATTTGGAAAATACAATTTGGAAAATACAATTTGGAAAATACAATTTGGAAAATACAATTTGGAAAATACCATTTGGAAAATACAATTTGGAAAATACAAATTGGAAAATACAATTTGGAAAATACAATTTGGAAAATACCATTTGGAAAATACAATTTGGAAAATACAATTTGGAAAATACAATTTGGAAAATACAATTTGGAAAACACAATTTGGAAAATACAATTTGGAAAATACAATTTGGAAAATACAATTTGGAAAATACAATTTGGAAAATACAATTTGGAAAATACAATTTGGAAAATACAATTTGGAAAATACAATTTGGAAAATACAATTTGGAAAATACAATTTGGAAAATACAATTTGGAAAATACAATTTGGAAAATACAATTTGGAAAATACAATTTGGAATATACAATTTGGAAAATACAATTTGGAAAATACAATTTGGAAAATACAATTTGGAAAATACAATTTGGAAAATACAATTTGGAAAATACAATTTGGAAAATACAATTTGGAAAATACAATTTGGAAAATACAATTTGGAAAATACAATTTGGAAAATACAATTTGGAAAATACAATTTAGAAATCGAATTTTGACTTTTTTGAGTTGAAATTCGATTTTAAGATTTTATTTTTTGAATTTTTCAAACTAAATGGGCATATTAAAATTATTTTAGGAGGTGGTCAAACGTCAAAACAATTCGAAACCATTGTGGATGTTTATAGTACACTTATGTCGTTTGACCATTTTTTCCAAGTCGAAATTCGATTTCCAACTTTCATTTTTTGAATTTTTACAATACTTGGGCACATTAAAATTATTTTAGTAGCTGGTCAAACGTCAAAACATAATTCCAAGCCAATATGTATATTTAATATGCCCTAATGTCGATGGATCATTTTGTTCAACAAGAAATTTGATTGGGAAATATTTTATTTGAATTAATAACCAATCTGGTGTCTTCTAAAATATTTTTGGGGGTGGTCAAATGAAGATACATAATTTTAAATGTTTTGGATATTATTGTGCCTTTCTGGCGATTGACCATTTTTTCAAAGTTCAAATTTATCCCAGAAGTCTTGTTTAATATAGTTTACCCCTTTAAATTATTTTAAGGGGTATTAAAAAAATCTAATAGGTGGTCAAACATAATCAAAAGTTGGTAAATAATATGGTGAGGTCAGTTTTAAAAAATATTAACTTAAGGGGGCCACCAGACACTCGGCTTTTTTTTAATATTTAGGTTTCTGAGGGTGGTCAAAAAAAGTAAGTGGGTGGTCAAACATAGTCAATAGGTGGTTACAAAAAAGCCGCTTCGAAACATATCATTTTTGAATTTAGGGGGCCAGCATCACAGAGCTTCCAAATTTACATCTTTTGTTGAACTTCCAGTACATTTTTTTTATTTTTATCTTATCTAGTAAGTATTATAGATCATTGTCCGAAATTTATAGTGTTACAAAAATTAACACAAATATATTACTTATCAAATAATATTTACATTTCAAAGTATTTGTCTTTACTGATAGACAATTTAGCATCCCTTCTTTTATGTATTAATAGAAAATATGAACGAAATCTATATTTATATTAAATAAAGAAATGAGAATTTTTCTTCGTTTTGGGTTATAATAGATTTTTATGTAAAAAAAAACTTTAAATTCCACTCAAGTTATAAAGTACTTTTGTTCTTTTTGTTAGATTTCCCTAAAGTTTTCTTTTTATATATCCTTATAAAACTAAAAGAAAGGACACATGTTACAGTGCTGGATATAACAGGGCAAGAATCGACGCCTTCTAGGGACCCGGAGGCTGACACGTGCTCCCAAGGGTTATGAATATATTTATATTATCATCCTTATATCTTGTTATAGGAGTTACAATTCTGCTCGTTATTTACTGATATTAAAAGAGAAGCGGCTTGAAATAATAGCTACGAAACGGAATTAAATGTATAACGTTTTGAAAGATCTGCTACATAATTGGACAAGTGGTAATTGAGTGTGAAAGCTTGTGAAAATCGTTTAAAACAATAACATTCTCGTATTCGCTGGGTTGTTTGGGTTAGTTAATTACTGGGACCAATGAATTTTATTACAAGGGAAATAGAAGGGTGAAAATGGAAATATACGAGTTAGGGGAATATAATTCAGCTTAGCATTAATTTCACATACAGTAAAAATATTACAATTATGTGTAGAATTTTAATTTATTAACAAATTTGTGCTGAAACTTACGTCATTTAGATATATCTATAAAAAAATTAAAGAACATTTAAGTAGACGAACATTCTTAAAAAATTATACAGGGTGTTTCCAACGTAATCTAAAATATTGTTGTGGGCGAGTCGTCGTTCAATAGTAGTTAATGGTGACTTGAGCACACTTTGACCTTTGTACCCAAGCACTGCGCAGCCGCGGCGTTTCACGTTTTCGATTGACATTTGACGTTTTCGATTGACGTTTGACGTTTTCGATTGACGTTTGACGTTTTCGATTGACGTTTGACGTTTCGAACGACGTTTCGTTTGACGTTTCGTCATGCGAAACGTCAATCAAAAACGTCACACGTCAAACGTCAATCGAAACGTCAAACGTCAATCTAAAACGTCAAACGTCAATCGAAAACGTCAAACGTCAATAGAAAACGTCAATAGAAAACGTCAATCGAAAACGTGAAACGCCGCGCCTGCGCAGTGCTTGGGTATAAAGGTCAAAGTGTGCTCAAGTCACCCATTAACTACTTTTAATTTTAAGACAAAAACCTCCTACAAACATGTGTGATAGGTTTTGTCATTTATAAGATACAGAGTGTTGACTTTTTTGTAATATACGAGCTCTGACTGTGAATGAAAGTTACACAAACCCGATCTTAAATTTAGAAGATCTTCAAAATCGCATCATACAAGGCTGTAATATTATTCGCAACAATCCTGGCCTCTTCGAACGTATTTGGCGATCCATTAGACGTCGAGCGGATGCTTGTATTTTAGCTAGAGGTGCACATTTTAAACATCTGGTATGAAATGTAAAACTATTTTTATGTTTATTACAATTTATTGCTTTTATTAAAATAATAAAAAAGTCAACAACCTGAATCTCATAAATGACAAAACCTATCACACAGGTTTATAGGAGCTTTTCGTCTTAAATTTGAAGACGTATCGCCCACAATAATATTTCAGATTACTTTGGAAATACCCTGTATAGTTACTACGAACAATTAAATATATAATTTTATCTGTCTGTAGGTAACTAAATAATATTTTACACTGTGGTGCAAATATGACATACACACACATAGCCCATGTGATATACAGCCAAAAGGAATAAATTTGGTAATAAATAAATGGGGGCGTGTTCGGGAAAATGCTCCGACCTGTCGATTGGCATTTTTTTAACAAAAAATTTTTATACAGAGTGTGCCATATAGTAATAGTGGCCAATACCAATTTTCTTATTTTAAATTTATTTATTTATTTAATTTTTGGATTCTTCAGAAAATTCTAGACAACAATAACAAATTAAAATTTTTGATTACAGAAATTCGCTACAACACACTCAATACTTATTTCCCATTTAGGTCATAATGAGGAGAAAGTAAGCAAAAACCATTTTAGCATTCCTTTTTACTGATCTGAAATTAAAAAATCTGATGTGTCCAACACATAACTTTCCTATCTAGTTATTATAGGCATTTTCCGGTTATTTTGTACAACCTATTGCAGCATCTCTATAAATGTTTAGAGGATAAACTAAATATATACATTTTACACATACATTTACCTCGAAACATTTTTCTATAGATATTCATTGAAAACGAAAATACTGAAAAATTTAAATTTAGCACTTTTCCATTACGGTCCATTTTAGAAAAATCATGTATAAACAAAAATTATAGAAATCGATATAGCAAACAACTTTTAGTTCAACAATTTTCATAAAAATCAGAATTTTGCACATTTTGTCAAATTTCTCGAATACGGACCATTTCAGGAAATTTTGACATAAAGCAAAAATTATAGATAATAATATTAGAAGTAACTTTTATTTGAACAAGTTTCTTCTCCAAACATAAATAACAGATATATTCCATAAAATATAAAAACGGCCTCCCATAAAGTACCCCCCCAGATGTTCCGACTTTGTCCAAAATCTAATCGTTTCACGTCAGGCCGAAATAAACCTTAAGTTTAAAATTTAATGTTTTTTCCTTCATCCGTTTTTGAGTTTTCTTCAAATTTCGAAATTTACACATTTTCTTAAATATCTCGAATACGGTCCATTTTAGAGAAATTATGTATAGGACAAAAATTATAGAGAATTATATTACAAACAACTTTTATTTGAACAATTTTTATAAAAAATTATTTTTTTTACATTTTGTCAAATTTCTCGAATACGGACCATTTTAGGAAAATTTTGTATAAAACAAAAATTATAGATAATTATATTAGAAGTAACTTTTATTTGAAGAATTTTCTTCTCCAAACGTAAATAACAGATATATCTAATATCTAATCAGCTCATTGGACGCTGAAACAAAGCTTAAGTTTAAAATTTGGTGTTTTTCTGTGTATGGATTCATGAGTTATGCGTTATACAGACACACACACACACACACACACACACACACACACACACACACACACACACACACACACACACACACACACACACACACACACACACACACACACACACACACACACACACACACACACACACACACACACACACACACACACACACACACACACACACACACACACACACACACACACACACACACACACACACACACACACACACACACACACACACACACACACACACACACACACACACACACACACACACACACACACACACACACACACACACACACACACACACACACACACACACACACACACACACACACACACACACACACACACACACACACACACACACACACACACACACACACACACACACACACACACACACACACACACACACACACACACACACACACACACACACACACACACACACACACACACACACACACACACACACACACACACACACACACACACACACACACACACACACACACACACACACACACACACACACACACACACACACACACAGACATCATCGCGAAAATAGTCAAAACGGATTCAGGGGACCTCAAAACGTAAAAATCCGTCGAAAACTCGAAGTCAAAAAAAATCATGATTCCTATACTTTCCTTATATCTGTATACAGATAGGAAAGTAAAAAGCTATACTTAAATAGTTTTGTTTAAAACGCATAACCTTAGCAAATTGTGATATGACTACATGACAGAAGTTATCAGTGTTATAGTCGTTTGAATTTACTTAAGTGCATATTAAGAAAAAAATGGTTCATTTAAGAGAAATGCACAAAATAACAATTCTATAGGTGATTGGTTATGGAAATAACACACGGACACAAATGGAAGTTACTCGCTAATTTCATGAAAAATTTCCAAATTTGCTTCGTATATTCCAAAAGACAATTAGTAAAATAATGTTCGATATTAGCCATTTTTTCGATTATTCGAAGACTAAAAGAAAATAAAA